ACTTCAAGAAACTTTAGTAACAGCATTTGTTCCCAGATTTCAAATATAATTCATTATCATACTTTCTAGATCACCAAAATGATTTGTAAAAATATTAAAAATATATGCGTTTTGCACACTCCAAAACTTCTGAAAGTAACTTAGATCTTAATCATAAGAGTAATAATATACATACATATAAATTAAGCCAACTAACCATAAACAAGAAGTTTTAGTTTTACAAAAGCTAAAAAAAAAAAGTTTTTGATAGCTTATAAGAAACCATTTGCGTTCAGTTACCTACGACAATAATAAAAGTAATCCTATTGCCCAGTGTTGTTAAAATTTGAAATGCACCCTAACTTATAACAATCTTATTCTACAATTTGTCACTGTTGGTAATATTTGAAAGATATCTCTGTTTTCTATCATAACATGTTTTATGTTCAACTATGCCTCTACGGTTGCTCAGGGGGTACGTTTGAGGGTTTATAACACTAAAATAGGGGTTCAATACCTGCGTCTGGCAGAGCACACATACCTCATTGTGTAACTTTGTGCTTAACACTAAAACAATGTCCAAATATAATATATCCACTGATGATTTCCTTGTGTATGTAAAATAAAACAACGAAAAAACATTAATGAGCAACCCCCCAGTGGCACAGCGGCATGTCTGCGCACTTATAACGCTAGAATCCAGGTTTCGATACCCGTGGTGGGTAGAGCACAGATAGTCCATTGTGTAGCTTTGTGCTTAATTACAAACAAACATTAAGGAGCAGAATAAAGTATACAGTCAAAACATTCAGGTCAAAGCCAACAATTTACTGTATATAGAATTATTTATCTAACATTACCTAATCGTTTAGGCCTTTGCAACATCAAAACAGAAAGCAAATTATCTTAGTGATCGTCAAAAATAGCAAATATCATATCTGGAATTAGTCCCTGTTTGTAGAAAAAAAATCTAAAAGTTTCGCTTAATACATAAATAAACAGCCAAAAATCTAAAAATCAACAGCCTTGATTAAAAAAAAATTCATAAGTGCGACTAAGAAACTTGTAAATAACGCAATTTTAGTAACCGTTGTATAAAAAAAGAGCCAATCCTTGTGTGCCTGAAAGATGCAAAGGGCTGGCTGGTGTTTAACTCCGTTTCCAATGGCAACACATTCCTCTGAGCGGGATACCAGTCCATTGCCGGTTAATCCCCAGCTATTAGTTGGTACTCAATTTACAGCTGGGTAGATGAAGCAAACTGAGGTAAAGTACCTTGCTCAAGGACATATATAACGACAAGGCAGAAGCAAGTTTCGAACCCGCAACACACTAGCCACCCCGTCCCCAGTGAACGTATACTTTATTGATTTTAATAGTTAATAATTTATGCACAGCTTTACACTCAATAATTATACAACTGAAAATTAAAGTTTCAATATTGGATTTATTTTTTTCAACCACAGTTTAACTGAATGATCCCCTAGGGCTTCTTATCCTCTCGAAGAATCTGATAAAAGAGCCGAAAGCTTGTAATAAATAAACAGTATGTCATGGTGAAAAAAATCCTAAAATATTATATAATTACTAATCTAATCTACATTATGAGTTCAAATAACCAGCCAAACTTATCAACACGACCAAGTTAAAGTACTCGTGAAGTTATTTTTATGTCTGGACTTTCATTTACTTGACTCTCTGTAGACTTCCTATATTCCTATCTCTAATCGCTATCTATTGCTGACCTTGCGTCAACAGGTAGTACTACTAGTATTAGTGAGACAGTGGAGAACAGTGTATACATCGCTTGCCAATAATATCATGATATATGGAATATTTATTGTTGTAAACAATGTTCAAGATCTCCCTCCAACGTTAATCAAAATAAGCTTCCTTAATGTCATAACCTCGTGGGTACTCCCAACTTTCCATTCTCCCAGGCTTTGTGAAGCCAGTATTGTTGAGGACTTTAATTAATTTACTTTAAATATTACGGAACACAATTATAGGATATCATATATATATATATATATATATCTTCCTAAGTCGTCAATTTCTATTTAAAAAAAAACGTCAGCAAATGTTTTGTTATCGTTTTAGAAACGTGAAGTCCCTCTTGCTTACAAGTGCCACCACAATATTGAAAAGAGGAAGCTTATGCAGTATTAGAGAAGACATAACTAAAATAATAATAATCTATTCGTGTTACATTTGTATATTAACACTTGGAACAAGTTTGTTTGTTTTTAAATACACGCATTAACCTGTTTGAGTTAACGATATTTCACACGGTAAAATACTAAAAAAGTAACACTGACGCTCATCTAGTTATCCTCTAAGTCCACCCCCGAACTTTAGTAATGTCAGTGTCATACTAAGTCCATCCTGAAATTTAGTAATGTTATTGCTGTTATACTAAGTTCATCCTGAACTTTAGTAACGTTAGTGTTGTTACACTAAGTCCATCTGAATTTTAGTAATGTCAGTGTCATACTAAGTCCATCCTGAACTTTAGTAATGTCAGTGTCATACTAAGTCCATCCTGAACTTTAGTAATGTTATTGTTGTTATACTAAGTCCATCCTGAACTTTAGTAAAGTTAATGTTATTATACTAAGTTCATCCTGAACTTTAGTAACGTTAGTGTTATATTAAGTCCATCCTGAACTTTAGTAAAGTTAATGTTATTATACTAAGTCCATCCTGAACTTTAGTAGCGTTAGTGTTATATTAAGTCTATTCCGAACTTTAGTAACGTGAGTGTTATATTAAGTCCATCCTGAACTTTAGTAACGTTAGTGTTATATTAAGTCCATCCTGAACTTTAGTAGCGTTAGTGTTATATTAAGTCTATTCCGAACTTTAGTAACGTGAGTGTTATATTAAGTCCATCCTGAACTTTAGTAACGTTAGTGTTATATTAAGTCTATTCCGAACTTTAGTAACGTTAATGTTATATTAAGTCCATCCTGAACTTTAGTAACGTTAGTGTTATATTAAGTCTATTCCGCACTTTAGTAACGTGAGTGTTATATTAAGTCCATCCTGAACTTTAGTAACGTTAGTGTTATATTAAGTCTATTCCGCACTTTAGTAACGTGAGTGTTATATTAAGTCCATCCTGAACTTTCGTAACGTTAGTGCTATATTATGTCCATCCTGAACTTTAGTAACGTGAGTGTTATATTATGTCCATCCTGAACTTTAGTAGTGTTAGTGTTATATTAAGTCCATCCTGAACTTTAGTAACGTTAGTATTATATTAAGTCTATTCCGCACTTTAGTAACATGAGTGTTATATTATGTCCATCCTGAACTTTAGTAACGTGAGTGTTATATTAAGTCCATCCTGAACTTTAGTAACGTTAGTATTATATTAAGTCTATTCCGCACTTTAGTAACGTGAGTGTTATATTATGTCCATCCTGAACTTTGGTAACGTTAGTATTATATTAAGTCCATCCTGAACTTTAGTAACGTTAGTGTTATATTAAGTCTATTCCGCACTTTAGTAACGTGAGTGTTATATCATGTCCATCCTGAACTTTAGTAACGTTAGTGTTATACTTTTTCACACGAATATGAAAAAGACCCACCCTCTATTTAGCATGTCTATGCAAATATTGTTAGCAATTCATTTGCACTATTATTAATTCTCTATACACAAACACAGCCAACACGCGTAAAGTGTTCGTAAAATAAGTATTTGTCCAAGAAGAAAACACCTGGGCTCTTTATAGAAACATGTTAAACTTTTGGATTACTAGAACAATGCCATGTTTACATGAGACAATGTGTTTTATCATTCATAATTGTTTTACGTGACGATCAATTCTAATGACATTTGGCATTGGTATTTTCCAAGAAAGCTTATTATCGTTGGTTCAATGAACACAGCCAGTCATAACTAAAGTCAACAAGTAGGACAAACTAATAGAAGTTGAGACGACTGTGAAACAAAATGAAACCTAAACCTCATACAGCGATAAAGACCATGGTACCGTGTATTTTGCAGTTACAAGTTAAACAACAGTAAACAATCAAATATTAGCTAATTTTAATATCATTACTGAGATTGTTGTGATTGGTGTTTTCGTACTTTCTCAATAAAACAGTAGGGGTTAACACGATATGTTGGTCACACTGAGATACCAGTGACATCAAACGCGCTACAATATGCATGGTACTTTTTTATTTATCATATTAAATGGAACTTGGTATTTAGCAAGTGCAGGACAATAAAAGTGGAGAAAAGCATGCTAACGATCTACCCGGTTTTTACGTGAATGAATAAAGACAAGTCTAGGACTTTTTTCGAGCTTTAAAGTTATTAAATATTGGAAAGAAATACTATTAGACAATATACTAATGTACCATAAGAGCATCGAATTCCAAACTAGATGAAAAAAAAAAGTTTTTGTTTTCAGGAAAGATTAATTACGAAACCTAGGTTTAATTTATTTTGAAAGAGAATCAACGAAACCCCATCCTTTTTCCCGATTTCCATATTAGGTCTCCGTGTACAATGGTTTGTCTCTAACCGGCGGTTTTTTGTTGTTGTTGTTGTTGAAATTCGTCTCAAGCAACTGTCTTACCCACATCTAACAAGTGAAAACCCTAAAGGTACTGCTACTGATTACTTTACGACCAAGAATCCCTGGGAAAGTCGAAGACTTTGAAAGAATTATGACGGTTTTGTTTGTCGCAAGCCTCTGGCTAAACTGATTTCCCAAAAAAAGCTCAATGTTTTATCAGCTCGCAGCTGTTTTCAACAGATCCGACCTCAGAAGAAATAGCTCTATAGTGCTAATGAAATTTTGCTTCTGGAAACAAGAGTAAAACCAGCAAGCCGAAAACAAAAAGCACTTTACGTCTCGGAAACGCTGTCAGGTACTTAAAAGTGCTCATTTGTGGCTACCGTGTCGAGGACACGGGCCATTTTCCCAGTAAATTTCAATAGGCTGATTGCCCCTGTTAGGGTAGTTTATGAGGGCACTAAAACTGTAATCCTCGATACCTACCTGTGTCTGAGTTAGGCCTAACGAAGCGGCAAGTTCGGCTCGCTCCGGCAGAGCTAGATACTGCGTCCTTTGGAACCTCCTATTGAGCTGCTGGAGTTGAAGACTGGAGTAGATGGTTCTAGGTTTCCTCATCTTCTTTCCTTTCCCATTTACCCGTAGTGTATCTTCCGGTTGGTGTTTATCTGTCATTGTAAGCCAATTATTTATGTCACACCATTCTTTAAACATGAGCATTCAATGCTTAATACCTAGTAGGATCAAACTATATAACTTAGTGAATAAATTGATCGATTTGTGATGGAACTTATACAAATACATAAACTGTCAGAAAGCTTTCTGGATTAATTCCATAAAAGACTATTCCGACTGTGGAATCAATGCCTTAACCAAAAACCAGATGTATGTTTTATATGGAACATGGTTACCCCTATGGAGTTTTTGACACTACAGTGCAAGGATCACTGCTCTACACGATGATTTTACAGCATCATTAGCAATTACCTCGACGCGTTACCTTATAACAATAATTACGTGGTCACTTTACCATCATTAATTATTCCTTCGTTATAAAACATTTCAATTTCAGTCAACATTTGGAACAGTTACTTCAAATTAAAACACTGCAAGATGTTTCCTTAGTTAATTATATGACTTTTATCTTAACTGGGTGCGTATACAAAATGTTCAACTATCTCTTACTAAATGAAACATTTCTTCAAACAATTTGATAAAACCGACACCAAGAGCTGTGTGCTACATCCACAGTGAACCGATATTCCATTGAATGGTGTTTTAATTTTAACGTATGAACCGCTGGTTATTACACACTGACGCAACAAAGTTTTATTGAGAATATCATTTTTTAATATAAATCGCTTTTCTGTTTACAAGAGACTTGCATAGATTATGTGATAATAAAGCGCTGAAATCTATTTTTTTATTTAAACTATAATGTGTAAAACATTGTGTAGTTCTTTGTACTATAAATGTATATCATATTCCATTGTAGTCATAGTTTCTAAGATGACTCCTTTGATCGCAACATTGTACATACAGTATATATATACATTACTTTCTATGATATATTAGTCAAAATTTTATCCTATTACCTTATTGTAGAATTATCATATAATTAACTTTTGGTGCAAATGTTTTTCTTTCAAAGCAATGCAATTCTATTATTTTCATTCAAGAAATCAAATCAAAAACAATTTATTGTGTTCCAGTGTTGTAATTTTGTTCTTCACCTATACAACCATCACATTGCGTAGCATTGTCACACTATTGTAGGTAAGCAAGTTGCATAACGAATTATTATAATATTATAATATTGTGTGTTCACTCAGTCTTAGTTATAACACAGTAAAAAGATTTTTCTATTAAACTTCGTATAATACTTCTTTCATTGCGATAACACGCCAGGACTTACTCTAATCACTGGTTATACATTGAATAATTATTATTGTATATTTGATCTTTACTGTAGAATTTTTCGCTTAATTTTTCTATGTCAGTCATTTCATTGTTGATATATTTAAAACAACTATTTTTTTATCTTTAGTTTTTATGGAATCTTGTTAATACTGGCGTATGGAACTCATTCTATATGTAAAATATTGGTTAAAATTAACAGTATTTTTTTTTCCTAAAGCATAAGTAATTTTCACTTATAAAACAGTCGTTTTTTTAAATACTTCATGACGAGAGTTTTTTTTTTTATATACTTCACAACGAGAGTGATGCAAAATTATTCTGAATGAATTTTAACCAGTTAATTTTACGGACGTGTAAACTGATATGCGCATGCGTCACATTTCGTCAATGTTATTATTTTTCAAATCATTATATGGTTATTCTTACGTTACAGTATTTCTCCTAGTAATTTATTTAATAAACCAGTAATAATTTTACTCGGACATTTTATCACCGATACATGTTTTGGCTAAACGAACATGAACTTGAAAGATCGTTTTTTTTTTTTATAAGAAAGATCGCAATGTAAATTTTTTGTTCAACTACGTGTTGAAATTTCCCAAGGTGTATCAATTTTAAAACAAAAAAATGAAAGTACTGACTTATCAAACCGAGTGAAAGTCGTGAGAAATACTCTCCTGTAAAAAAAAGTAACTGAATTTACATTCTAGCTAATTACAAATCTCATACTCATATATCGACCGTTAAGAAATGCTGAATAGTAACATTGTTACGTTTATGTGTAATACCTTATCTCGGAAAACAGTCTTGTTACATTCGAGTCAGATTTTCAATCAACTTCATTTACAACCATCTCAGTTATTAGATTTTCTTGCCTGCTCTAGATCACCGGACAGCATAGATTTCTTAGTAACGTGTATTGATTCTCTCCGTGACAAATATAACATGAATAATTAGGCCTGCAGAAGTTGAAAATGAAACTAATTTGTTTCAACTATTGATTGTAACGTTCCTTAAAAGAAGAAAAGATAAGATTTATGTCGTAAATTTATGAAGTTGAAAGAACTACATAGATGCACTAAGCCTGTAATGGCCGCCTATTTCGTAGGCCTTAGTCACGTGCGAGTTTAAGCATCTATTTTGTAAACTAACACTTCATTTGATCAATAAACAGTCCTACATAGCCTTGTTAGCTAGTACGTATTTTTAAGCAACAAAACATAAAACACTGCATTTACTAAAATATGTGATTTGATGAAATATTTCTATTATTACTTTTAAACTAAAACTAATTTGAGGATATGCTATAACTTCTCAGGGTTACAAACATTCTATATAGTAGTACGTTATTTAAGAATACAAACGTCGAAACACTTACCATCTCTAGGTGATGGAGGACATGGAGGACCACAGCTTGTCACGTTCGGGGGATATGACCCCAGGTAGTGATGGCTCGGATGGGTGTAAGTGTTGTGAAGACCACTGTTCAGGGGGTTATTGTTCATGGGGAACGGATAAGCGCCCAATGACCTAGCATGTTGGCTGCCGGGAAAAGCCGCTTCATGCTGCGGCGCCTGATGGCTAGGGTACGAGGTGCGTATCTGGTACGGCTGTGAATGGTGTTGCATGGCGGTCAGCCCTTGCTGCTGTAACTCCATAAATGCAGACTTATTAGCCATTTCCTGATCAAGGCCATCCACCGTACCCGTCATATTCGGGTAGGGGGTCGAAAATTCACTGAAGTTCAACGTGGTGACGGTTTTCGTGGAACGCAACCAAGAAAGAAAGTACGGAAACACGATGTGGTCTTCCCGTTGCTAGCGAACAACTACTTAAACTACCAGCTTTTACCTCAACACCACTACCATGAATATGGATGATAGCTCTGCAGCTCCACCTCCTTCCCTCTCTACTGCTTACTGATTGGCCGTTAGCAGAACGTGGCCTCCGACAAACGTTGCTTCAGTTTTCTTGCTAAGCCTGATGCCCGAGTCATCTGTCCTTCCAGGGAAAGCCCCGCCCTACCCTTGCGCGATGCCTGGGGGTATATCAATTGGGCTGCTCGACCCAGCTGACCCGAGTCTCCTCCACCCCCTCCCTGGAATCACCTGAGAAAGGTGTCAATGACGCCTATCCTCCCCGGCTTCGTCACACTCGTAATTCTGTACGCTTGTCACCCATCTAGTGAACTAAGTGACCACACTCCAGCGGTCATCGCTCGTGCAAACACTTTTTGTTTCAGCCATAAGAAGGGTGTTGGCGGTTCAACCTGGCGCCAAGAAACAACTGTGAACGTGGTTGGTAGTTACCACTTCTCATGTCGTGTGACTTACCCTAGCTTTTCTTGATCTGCTAGTTTTAGTGACATTTACTTTTCAACAATCGAATAACTACCAATTTCCTTCCATACATATTCGTTACCAATAAAATCTACATATTACTTCATAGTGAATAATCTTTTGTTTGTGCCTGTAGCAACACACTGTGTAAGGAACTAACCAACAAAATAGAGTGAAATGGCTCGTCTTATAGTTAGAATACACAGGAGGAATAAGTGAGATTAACTGCAATATTTATGGATGTTTGTGACTCACATGTTATTAAAGACATTGGAACCAACAATAGAATACACAGGAGGAATAAGTGAGATTAACTGCAAAATTTATGGATGTTTGTGACTCACATGTTATTAAAGACATTGGAACCAACAATAGAATACACAGGAGGAATAAGTGAGATTAACTGCAATATTTATGGATGTTTGTGACTCACATGTTATTAAAGACATTGGAACCAACAATAGAATACACAGGAAGGACAAGTGAAATTAACTATAATATTTATGGATGTTTGTGAGTCGCATGTTATTAAAAAAACTGCAAAGAAGTCCAAAATTATTCTTAATGCATACTTCCAATAGATTGTTTTTGTTTTGTAGATGGGCTATAAAGGAAGATAGATAAAATCTGAGCCATTATCTTTCATAATGTATATTAGTATATTATTTTAACAAAAAGAGATAGGACGTGTTTGTTTATATATATATATATATAGGATGTGTATATGTGTTGCATGATGCTCAAAAATGTTTCAATTCAATGTTTCCGTACTGGTAGATGGTTCCGTTTCTCACCACAGGAGGTCTCACTTATCAGTTGAATTTCCCACTTTCTGTCGGAAAGATAGACTTATTGAATCAGTGTTTGTGCCTCCATGTATATATATATATAATCGTCTTCATTACCTGGACTTCACGATACGTCTTACTGGTGTGTAAAAATGTTGGCTTCCTTTGATGTAGCGACTACCTAAATCAACTCTTCAACGAAAACAAAAAAAGATAGCAACAGCAGTCGGAAATAGCGCAAGACACGTTCCAGCTCGGTGCGTTCATTCTGCCTACGGAGCCAGTTCTCCGCTAGATTCAGGACGCGTTGTGCACGCAACACTGCGCAGGTCAGGGGTCAGGGGGAGTTGAGGCGTGTGAAGTACGAGGCTGGTGCGATTGACTGGCTAGAATGAAGTCTAAACTCACGCACAACCTGCTTTTCTAAACATGTAGGGCCCATTCACATTACTTGACGTAAGCTGCCAGTGCACGTGCTTATACTCAATTTGGAATTTTGGGAGATTTGCCAAAGAGGTCGTTTTAATCTTAAACTTAAAGCACTTTTACTGCCAAAACTTTTCTATTTTATATTAAAATGCAGTAAATAACCAGGTAAAAGTTTTCGATGTGTTCTTTAATAAATAATAAAATAAAGAATACTACAGTCATCAATTGTCAGTTGCGTAGTATATGTTACATGAACGAATATTAAACACCTGAACAGCTGTCAATCGATTATAATTGAACGCAACTATGTAAGAAAATAATAGAAAATAAAATAACATAAAAGACAATAAACACGTTTCACAATAAGAATCGCTAGCTCCTGTCATAAATGGTATAGAATACAAATGAAAGAAGTTTTGTGAAATGTGACAAATAAACAAAACTTTCATGACAAAGGCAAGGGACGAACAATTTTTCCGACTTTAATCTGAAATGGTAGAATATGTAAAAAAATATAAAGCGAAAACATTAAAAACAAATTATTTATTCAATAAAGGTTTCGGGTATTCGAGTAGTACAAGGAAGGTCCCCCAACATTATTAGCATTTGTACTAAATTTCATTTCATTTTCTACGTTATATTTTTCTGCCTTGGCAATCATTCTTTTATTCACGGGAATACATTGTTGGTGCCTCAAACTTCGAATTAGCATCTATTAAATGGTAAAAAGAATATTATATTGGATGGAATTTATCAACAACAAACAGACGTTCCGTATTACGCAGTTCAGTGTCCCTGTGTGTGTATATATACACACATACAGCTGATGTTGCAGTTGCGCTTGTCGTGGATTAGCTTTTGCAAACGACCAATTTCATATGTTCTTGGGAGTTGGCTTAGGTATCGACAGCGAAGTTTGTAGGTGGGGTAGCGTGGGAGCAGATATTAAAATGAATTAGGCTGGTAAGAAGTGCACCTGCTCAATTCAAATGGAAATTAGGGAGGTTCGAGAGCATGCTCCTCCGATACACACTTACAGTTAAAGTTGTAAGTATGGTCTATTGTGATGCAATGCGAGACAAGATATGGTGAAGTATATAGTTTAATGACTAACTTAAATAAAAATTCCCGTTTTTTAACTTAATATACTTATTTTCTTTTAGCCTCTCTATCTCCAACTACCAGACATATATTACAGTCTTTATTTGTTTCTAACGAGCCATTATTTTAGAACTCAAATTCTATTAGAGATGAGGAAAGTGTAAACTTGGAGAATTGTATGGGGAGGAGGTGCTGGCCAAATTGTATTGGAAATGTGGGCCCATTGTTCCGATGATTCGATATTTATATATGCGTGTGTGTATACACTTAATAAGTAGCGCAGGACAGTTGAGATTTCAGTGGGTTTTGACGAGCTGGAGAAAAATAAATCTCAGAAAAATTTTCGAAGTTACCTTAAACCTAAAGAAGAACTGGAGTTCAGGCCGGCCAAAAATGGTCGTCTTCTTTGATTTCTGAGATACTCTACAACACTGGTGCGTTATTTAATTGGTGTTTGAAAAAGGAAAATTGTAAAGTTCAAGAAATAAAAGGGTGAAAAAGTTTCTTAGTCGCTTTCTGGAAGTGAAATTTAAAGAATTGGTTACAACTTTGGTTGTCCTCTAAATACAGGTTTTAAGACAATTAAAATAATAATGGTATCTTTATAGTGTGTTAAGTATGTTGTTGAACATGTTCAAATAACTAGTATCATGTTTCGTATAAAACCCGTTGCAATGAATAATCCAATAACTAATCACATTTTATGATTAAATAATTAAAATTAAGTTGACAATCCTGAGAAGTATAAAGGGTGATCAAAATTATATTTTCTATTTTAAAATTTAATAAATAAATAACTAAAGAAATATAGCCATGCAGTTTTCAACATCTTGTAGCTCAACTCAAACAGTTTTTATTGCATGTCAGTAGACTGATATGTGTGCACCATTAGTGACTCGCAGTATGTCTAACCGATATTCGATTTCAATCCACGTTCTCTGCAATATGTCCACAGTTACAGTGGCGATGACATCCGTTATCCTGGTCTTTAGCTCCGTAACGTTTGCTAGAGGTGTGCGATATACGATGTCCTTAACATACCCCCAAAGAAAGAAGTCTGGTGGAGTGATGTCTGGCGAATTCGGAGGCTAATGAATTGGCTCACCTCAACCAATCGATTGCACCGAGTCTTTTCTTGCACGGTTGCCATCTTACGGGGTAACAGTACTCACTGGAGTAAACAGAAAAACATGACAATAAAAATGTTTGAGTTGGGCTACGAGTTGTTGAAAACTGCACAGTTGTATTTCTGTAGTTATTTAATTATTAAATTTTAAAATAGGAGATATAATTTTGAAACACCCTGCATTTTGAAACACGTATATGTAATAATATATATATGTGTGTGTGTGTGTGTGTGTAGAGAGATAAATGTCAAGAAAGCGAAACTTTTAATTCATTTTCGACATCTGGTTTGTTTTAAATTTCGAACAACGTCGGCTATCTGCGCTAGCCGTCCCTAATTTAGAAGTGAAAGACTAGAGGGAAGGCAACTAGTCATCACCACCTACCGCCAACTCTTGGGCTACTTCAGTTTTCAAATTCATAAGAAAAACGTTATTGGTGCGTTTTTGTTTAGATATAAGTAAAATAAGATGTTTGTTTGAAATTAAGAACAAAGCTACACAATGGACTATCTGTGGTCGTCCCACCACGGGTATCGAAACCCAATTTCTAACGCTGTAAGTCCGCAGACATAGCTCTTATTAGTAAATTTATTACTTTAGTGTATCTGATGTGCATTCTTACATTTGATTATCGATTATCTGAAGCCTAAAAACTGTATCTTTGTTGAAAGAGACGTTATAACAATCGAACATTTTAATTTGATTTAAATAAATGTTGAATAACACTGTGGAATTATGCAATTATTGAGATGTGTTCAAATAGATGTGTGAATAAAGAAACATTATGGTTCTAGCAAGTGAAAAAAAAAAAGGGACACAATGATCAAGGAAAACGTACTTAACTATAACATCTATTAACTCTTCAAACTACTAAGACCGAAATGTACACATCCTCCAACAACAGTATTGTTGTATAGACCGTAAGAACAGTTTTGTTTGTTTTTTCTTTGTTAACAAAAGTTTCTCCTTACAATGCTAACAGTACAAAGTTAGCCTCACGCTTATTTGAAAACCACAATCCCGTGTATTGTACTAGGGATTTCTACCACCACTGGCTCGGTGAAGCGCTCAATAGCTGCTTGTCTATACTTGTAAAGGTGTCGATAGGAAATAGTTTTGTTTGGCGGGTGAAGTATATAGAATGAGCCTTGTGGCCACCTCAATATAATGGTTTTTGCCCTACATCATTACAATGGAAACCTGGAATACAGGCTGCTTTATACGAATTGACAATAAATGAAAGTAAAGAAGCGGTAGGCCATCT